CAAATTCATAGGGAATTTTACTGAGAGAGTCTTGAGGAAGAAGGAATTATGAGTGCACAATAGGTACAGAGGCATGACAAAACCACCAGAGTGATCCTCTGGTTGGGGGCTTGGATGACGAGACAAATACTGGTGCCATTTATCAGACAGATACAGAAGGATGGACAGGGCTTGGGAGAAACCAAGGAGTTCAGTTTTGAAAATACTGATTTTGAGCTTGATGTTCTACTGATGGAAAGAATCTGAAGTCATGGTGGCATTGAGACCTCAGATGAGAAACGAAGAAGGTTGAGCCTCTAAGGGATGGGCAGAAGAGGAGGCAAAGAAGGAGAGACACAAGTGGCAGCATCTTACCGCTCCCAGAGCAGAAGCATGTCCAAATGGTGTCAAAGAAGCCAAGGGTGGGGAGGATGGCAGGAGAACGACAGTGTAAAGATGGAAGGACGTCAGGAAGTCAGGAAAGGTCTGGAAGATATGTGATAGTTAGCAGATCACTGGGGATCTTAGCAAACGAAGCTTGAGTCAAGCGAGGGGAGCAGAAGCCAGATTCTAGTGAATCAAAGCAAGAACAGGAGATGAGGGGGGAGTTGTAGAGGGCAGATCACTCTTCTCAAGAATACTGGTTGGAAAGGAAGAGGGAGGCAGTTATTAGAAAGGGATACTAGGATGAAGGAAGCATGGCATTTTTTCCTCTAAGTTTGAAAGAAACTTGAAAAATGTGCTTAGGTATATCCACGCACGATGTAACCTGGAGGGTGAGTGCACCCTGACTCCTGGGAGCTGTGCTCTCCTTTCATTTAAGAAGATGGAAAGGAGGACACACATTTTTCCATCGCTCTCTGCCTTCACCATCACTGGCCATGTGAAGCTAGAAAAGTAATCAATGGTAGCTTATAATCTAACAGCTAAAGCAAAGAAGGAACACACCCAATAGGATTAATGACTTTGGGAAGCTTCATGTTTCTAAGTGAAGGTGGTCAACCAAGTGAAAACCCAACTCCAATCTGTGGTCAAAATCATAGAATGGGGTTATTTTCTTTATTTTCAGAATACTGTCCAGAAAGTTGAACTTGATTTCCTGACTCCCACAATAGGCACTTAAACGTCCTTTCCCTTCTCCACTCCCCACAGCTCTAACTCTGCTTAGCTAGGAGGGAACTGAGCACAGGATAAAGGACCAATAATCTGTGATAGATGGAAAACAAGGTCTTCTCCCTAAATAGCCACATGTTAAAAACAATGCATGAGAATCTGTTAAAAATATAAAGCTCTTCATTGCATGCTTAGAAAACAAAGTTACACGTAGATGTTTGGAGGACAAAAATTCAAACATTACATACAATTGGAGTATTTTATACACATTACACATGAACTACTTTCTTTCTCCTGTGACATTATCTTTCTCTGACACTTCCTAGGGATTAAAAGAATACAAGAAACAAAAGACACACTCAGTGTTTATGAAATAGCATAGTGTGGGAATAGGGGCTTTTTGGCATGATAATGTTTCTTGGAAAGTCTTTGTTTCTTGGAATTCCCTATGAGTCTTCTATGAAAGAAATGACACCTTCACACCCCTTCACTAACTGGACCAAAGAGACGGCTTAAGAAAAGTAAATGGAACATTTACTATGACATGTTCTTTGCTTAACTGTCTTTTTTGGGGGGAAAAAGAAATCAATTTCATAGCAGTGGTTACTCAGCTTTTGAATACAAGGCAGTAGGTCTGGAGACACCTCCTCAAGGCCACATGCTTCCTTGTCTACAGTCTAAAATCTATCATCACATGACTGTGGGTGAAAATCTCCTGTCTCAAAGATCATGCTGCTTGGAATTGTGGGCCGTCATTAAAGAGATTTTGGCACACTTAGGTGGGGTAAGGATTACTTGGTCAGTATGTTGACAATGATTCAGAAAATATATATGCTATAGGTGAGCTTGATCCAAAATTGGACTCACCTTTACTACGAGTTTTCTTCTCTAAAAAGCCGGCTTCAGGATAATGTGAGCAATCCAAAGAAAGGAGTTTTGTAACCATGCTTCCTTGAACTTTGTAACTTTGCCTTCACCACATGCCCTCTGCTCTGTATTTTACATTTCTTCCCACACTCCCTCTCCCAGATAACAAAATCATTACAGCCTTAAGAAATCTTATTTATAAAGAGGCTTTTATACAAAGAGTTCACAACCCTGTCACATACTCATCAGGGATATTTTCAGCCAAACAGAAATTAAAGTTTTATAATGACAAAATGGCAACAAATGAAACTCTATTTGATTAATTACGCAAGGGCAGATGTGATTACAGTCAAAATGCTGATTCTCAGATGCATACGTTTCTTTTTCCAGTTTTACACACTGAGACAAGGACCTAAGACAGACCTGGGTCTGAAATGGCCTCCATCTCCAAGCCTTGGGCGAGGGAGGCAAGGAGGAGGGTGCAGGAGGCCGCTCACTGGGAGACAAGAAGGGCAAGTGGTTCTGAAAAGAATACTTGTTTAAATTCTAGGGTGCTTCCATGGACTCAGAAGAAAGAATACGCCATTGGGGCAGAGAATAAAGACCTTTTCTGAGCAAGGAGTATAATACATGATAGATATATTTAAATAGTATATAACATTCCTCTTAACGTGGTTTTGTGCAAATGGTACCTAAGAGTGCAGATCTGAAACAAAATCTATCCAGCAGATTATAATTTCTTTATTTCATCATTCTAATCATTAAGACTTTCAAGGGACACAGGAGAAAAAAGTTTCCTGGCCCAGAAGATTTCATTTAAGAATAACCTACATGAAATTGAAGGTGATTAGTTTCAAAATTACCAAAACGCAATAGTAATAATTTAGTCCTTATTTCAATTAACAAATAGGAATGTAGGTATGGCTTACTTACAGAGTAGTCCTCAAAAGTTGAAATTAAAATTAATTAAATGTCAAATGCCTTAGGAGGCCTCATTAATTAGTGGAATCCTGAGTGAATCTTTCTGTAATTATTTTGAAAAGTAAATAATCACTTGCAGATTAATGTTTTTAGTACCTCAACTTGAATATTAACACATCAGGTTTATTTAAGAAAGTCTGTCCTTTAATGCCTTTTCTAATATTAACATTTGATAGAAGGAAAAAGCCCAAAGATAAAATAAGATAAAAATTCAGAGTAGAATCAATTTTCATAGCTGTTCCTCTCAGCTTATATATGAACATATTTTTATAGCTTTTTCCTTAACTTTGGTAGTCCCATGAGGCCCCTTAGGGTGGACACAACCAGGGTTGTGACATCTGGTGGCACTATGACCACGCCTGAGGAATGGAATCAAACAAGGCAACCTCTTAGCTTTAAATTTCCATGTAGGGTTGCCTGGGAATTTCAGCTTCTTGACATGTGTTTGCAGCCTTAGAGCCACATGCAGCTTTTTCACAGGCATTATAGTTCTTCAAAACCCCCAATTCCCCCCTTAAAGGATTATATGTTATTGGGATCCACAGGACGCCGAGCATTTCTGTAGCTTTTTTTTGTGGTTTATGATGATTACAAATTTGGCTCCACAGCTGGGTAACTATAACATAACACCTAGCTTATCAAGTAGACATTTTCCAAGTCAGATGAAAAGAATGTTTTGTTATTTTTAAACCCAATTAGGTTTTTCTAATATCTTAGAGACCTAGCAAAATGAAACTATCACACACTCTTTTGGAATGTGGAGACAACTGGCTCCTGCCTGGGTGCCAGGGCTCTCTGCTGGCCTGGCTGTGGAGGTAGATGCGCCATCCCCACCAGCCTCCATGACTCTTTGGAGAAGTCTATACCCTAGTTAAGGAAGGATGGAGGAAAAAAACCTCCCCAAAAATTCACTTTCTATCTGACCCTAACTTGAATCCTTCCATCCCATATTCAGTTACTGCTACTATTTATTGAATGCTTACTATGTACCAGGGAAAAGTGCCAAGTGCTCTGTACAACACAATAACGCGATGAAGAAGTTGTTATTATCTCCACAGGAACTGACTCTGGGAGGTTAAATATTTTGCCCACGGTACAAAGCTACTAAGCAGTAGAGTGAGGATTCAAACTTATGTGTGGCTCTTGGACGTGATAATACGTGCCTCTAATTATTTATCACTCAGTGTGGTAGATCACTTCTCTCCCTGCTTCCAGTTAAATTCCACCGAGAGGGGAAATGAAGACTCCCAGGATGTTTCAGATTTTCTTCCCTCTTCTCATCAGTTGTTCAGCCTGTCTAAGGCAGATTCAGACACTCCAATGCACTTCTATAGAGCTCGGTTAGTTTTTTCAAGCACCTATGGACTAGGTCCAGTCAATCTGGCATTAAACTCACGCTTTTGTGATGAGAAAACAGCTATTTTGAGTTGCTGCTTAGCCATTTTACAGTACGACAACACTACTGGACATTTCGATAAGGACCTGAACTTACGATTCCTGCACAAGCCCTTGCTTTGCTTTTTCTGGGGCATCCTTTTGCTCAGAGGTGAGCCCAGGAAAAGTTAGTGACATTGGCCCCAACCATCTGATAAGTAATAGATTCTTGCTACCCTGCTCTCTCTCTCTCTCTCTCACTTATGACCTGCGACAGAGGACGGCCCTTCTCCCGGCTCACTGCATGCCCCCCACCCCATTTCTGGGATCTGTAAGTAACAAATCTTGTGACTTTACTTTCATGGTGTGAGTGTATTGAAACTGCACCTTCAATGAAAACGACCCAGGGGTTTTCACTTCCCCAAAGTAGGAGCTCAGATGCTGAGGGAGCTACCTGCCAACCCCACATGGGTGGCTTGTGCCTCCTCATTCACCAGGTCATAATCTGCATATTCTTAATTTAATACACTAGCTACAGGTCCACAACACACCTTTAAGTCTTATTTTTCTCAAATACCAACAACATGGTGTGCTCTTTTACAGGAATTTTATTTACAATGACTTTCAGTCTTATAATAATGAATATATTCTACCCATCCATCTTAGAACTCAATCCCTACAGCCTGTTTCTCACAGGCTGTGGGCCTCCCTGTCTATCACAAAGGTTAACACATTCTTCATCAATGTTGCAGTAAAACTTGGTTTAAACCAGTGGTTCACAACCTAGAGCTTCTTTTATGATTTTCCCTTCATGAATCTCAATTGTTGTAATGTTAACAACTAACCAAGAGTGAATACACTTTTTTCTGTTACTAAAGAAGATGGAGGATATTAACCCCTGGATCCTGCGGTCCCCAAGTTGGATACTGCTGCATACATGGTTTTAGAAGAGTTGTGATCCTGTAGTTTTGATAGCGATTTGTAATTCACTGCACAGACCAGAGCAGTCTGGGAGTCAAACATCTTATTTATAGAATTTCATGCAATATAAAGTCTTCCCATCATTGCTCTCCAAAATGGCATCCTCTAAAGAGGAAAAAAAAATAAAAGACAGCTCTTGAAGACTGTCACTTGTAGAGTGTATCTGAGTAAATATTTTAGACATAGCAGGCAATACCCAGAAAATTAAAATAATGGATAGAGGCCCACAATGTTATGAAATAAGAGGACATGTTTAGAATAAACGTATGAACCAACAAAGATAATCCACTTAAAGAGAGACTGTCAAGTCATTCTGATTTGAGGGCACTTTGCGCAGTTTTAAAAAGTGAAAATGTCACCATTCAGTGAGCTAGGCACGCATGCTCCCTCAGCTTGAGCCCACGTGCAACAATTCTAAGGGATACAAGTAGGCGCATCCTTCAACACCTGGAACCAGGAACTGTTTATTTTTCCCTGGGACATTCCCATTAGGAAAGGAATAGCCTCTTATACTTGGGAGACATAAGTGGTTGGTTTTGTGTAAAAAAAAAAACTGTATTAAACAATTTTTACAAAGATATATAAGGACTAGAACATAATTCTAAATAGCCTCATCAAGTACAAAATACATTAACAAGGCTAAACCGATTATTCCTCCACTGAGGATTTTCTGTTTGGCCCCACAACCTAGTTTTGCCCCTTAGCATATGGATAGGAAAGTGCTGACAAACATAACTCAGATGACATCAGAACCGCGGCACAACGCAGGAAACACAGTCGGTATCAGCGTTGAAGGGGAAAGATTTATTCTCGCTTTTCCAGAAAGAAACAAAGACCATCAAAATTTGCTGGAGAGGGAGCACAACTATGTGTTACAACTTAGGACACTGAATCAGGAAGTCAAGAATAGAAGAACTAGAAGAAAATGAACAGGCCGACATAGCAATGGAGCCACTATACTCTAGATCTTAATGGGACTGGGTCATGGACTGTGGCAAAATAGAGTTCATTCGCCAATTACCAACTTTGTCTCCCTTACCATGCAAGACACGCTTTCTTTGACTCTGTTCCATTGCTCCAGCTCCTTTCATTCCCAAAGACCTTGTGGGAGCTGTCACCTTCTCAGATAAAGTTTCACTTGACAGTGGCCTCACTTGAAAGCTTATGGCCATCTTTAATTATCGGGTGGGACAGTTGTTAGCTATATGGCTTATCTCTCTCCCAGGACTTACTCTACTGTAACTATCCAAAAAAAGTTTATTTAATTCTGTGGGAGCACTTGAATTTATGCCCCATTAAAGTTCCCTTTTGAAAATTACAAGCTGAAGCCACATCTAACAATTATGACGTCCTCTGGATCCCACGCACATCCTAAAAATGGAAAATTCATTTCATGGTTACAGAACCAATAAAAAATATGACCTTATTCAAAATGCCTAATTTTTTCCGTTTTTTAGGTAAAATAAGTGATTTCAGGTGTTTATAAAAAAAATCATTATGATTACAGCATTCTATAAATGTTGGACATGCTATGAAAAGATTCTCTTATGTCATAAGAAATTACAGCTTAGACTGGAGGCCAAAATCTTTTCTTCTCCTATGCGATTTGCTTTTACTTTCAAATTTAACTCTAGCATTTTTCTTCTAGTACTCAGGTCAAGATAAGGCTTCTTAGTATTTACGTTCTTACTCATCTTTCATTAGCCACGGAAAAAACAAGCAGCGCTCATTTCCCACCTCTAGACTTGGTTTTGTAAATGACTCTGGGTGTGACCATGTCGGATGAGTCAATCAGTCAGCCAACAAACGTGAGTCGCCACTAGGTTGCCAGGTAGGATCAAAGTTCTATAGGAAAAGTTCATGTGGTCACATTCCTGTTGAAGATCAGGGCTTCCACCTTTAAGTAATATCAAATACACAGCTGAATTGAGACATCCCTAAAATTGCCTAGAGGACTTGCCAGGAGGAGTGTCATCTTACTTTTTACCTCGTTTTTGGGGAACACCCTCCGACATGAATAAAAGGACCAGGGACTCTGACTCCACCAAGACTTCCCTCAAATATTCCAAGACCCTAACTGGGTACAGGGATTTCTGGGCATGTGCTTTAAGGTCCCTGGAAGATCCTGTAAGGAGCAGGGCAAAGGCCAGACCTGCAGTTTCTGGGGAGTTCTTATGTCCTGGAACAAACAGCCAGAGGTGGGTCCTCTCTTGGGAAAGCTTTGCAGCAACAAGGGCTCTGCACGGACAGCTAAGCATGATGCCTGGCACAAAGTGCTGCCCGACGTTCAGGGCTGTCCACGACCTGGCTCCAGCCTTTCAGCCACCACTGCCCTTCATATACCCTATTCAACCCTATTCCACTGGCCCAACAAAACTTCTTCTTTCTCCTCACCCATCCCAGCTTCCACACCTTTGCTCACGCTATTTTGTCTGGAATGCCCTTCTTTCTCATCTCTCGGCTCTTCCAATTCCTATATATTCTCTCAGCTCATTAAAACTGTCATAACCTCCATGAAGGCTTCTCTCATTTATCATCCAACTAGAAGTTTCTTTCTCCTTTGAATTCCCACAAACATTATCTATGTATCTCTCTCGTCTATTGCTTATCACATTTTAACTTGTATGATAGTCATCTCTTTCATCTGTTACCTTCCCTATAAAACTGAAAGGTACTAGAGCCCAGAGTCCAGGTCTTATAGATGGTCATATTTCTAGCATCTCATCCAGTAATTCCATGGTTTTAATACTGGGTTCTGCACAGCCCGAGGGTTCCAGAGAGGCATCCTGAGACCACCCAGTGCGGGCAGAGAGGGGACAAGGGCACATAGAGACCCCCCTCCCTCCAATCTGTGCTTTAGTCTGATGGGTTTTGATTTCAATTCTTCTATTTATTGTGATTCATGTAAGTTTTTTTTTTTTTTAAGGATTCTGCTAGAGATGAAAAAAAGAAAATAGATATTGCTGCAATAGATATTGTCAAATAAATGAACAGAATTACACTCAAGGCCTCTAATGCTTTCTCCTCTCAGATATAATGAAATCCAATGGTCAAAAATGAGTAGCAAATGTTCAGAGTGCCTGTCAATCAAAGAACACGGTCAAAACAGAGGGCCCTTCCTCCTGTCCTGTATTCACCTTTTTGCATTAAAATTTGACAGAAGCCCTCTAAAGCTCTGAATGAGTTATGTCTAAGGTGCTAAATAAAACCACCCTGGCACCTGGTTCTGCTCTGAGGGGGGGGGGGGGGGTGTGCGTGTGGGTGTGTGTGTGTGGGTGTGTGCGTGCATGTGTACCCAAGCACATCCACTATTCTTTGATCTCAATGTAACTTCAGGGATATAGGAAAGAGTTACAAAGGACGCTGAGGACTCTCAACCGCCCACTCCCCCCAAATAAATCTACTCCCTCTTTTGTCTTCCCCATCACTGTAAATGGCATTAATATCCACTCTGTTGCTCAGGCTAAAAACCCGGGAGTTTTCCTTGATTTCTCTCTTTCCTTCACTACCCACATCCAATTTATCAGTAAATACTGTTGGGTCTACCTCTAAAACATGTTCCAAAGCAGATCATTTCTCCCTACCATCCACCGCTACCAACTGCTGTGGTTCAGGGCATCATCATTTCATACCTCTGTTACTGAAATCACCTCTTCTCTGGTCTCCTGGCTTCTGCTCTCTCCTCCCTATTATCCGTTCTCTAGGCGGCAGTGAAAGTCATGCTTAAACTTTTCCTATTAAAAACTCTCAAAGAGTTTCTCATCAAACATAGAGTAAAACTATACTTCCTAACTGGCAATAATCTAGCAACCATTTATATTTCACTCCAAATTAAGCAAATTTGCTTATTCTGATAATCTTCCACTGGGGAGTTTTCCTTGCTTTGGAAAGAAAATAAATTAGTGGATGACTGAGCAGAGACAGAACGACTGGCACATCACTCAAAAATAGAAATGACTTACGGCTTCAGATTTGGGAGGCACTGGAGGTGGAGGTAGGGCAATTTCTGAAGACTTCATTGCTGCTCCCAGAGTTCCGGGGACAGGAAGAGGAGAAGTTGCACATTTGGACCGGACAGAACCTCTAAACTGATCACACCTGCTCTTCTCGCTCAGGGAACGAGTGAGAGGCTGATGGCTAGGCTTGCCTTCCTCCAGCCACAGCTCTTCATAAGGAAGTTCTGACTTCCCTGGGATGCCCGCTAATTCTTCATTAGCTTCTGGGAAAAGGTAGTCGCTCCCACTATCACCCGAGTCCTGATAGGGCAGGATGTCATGAGGAAAGGGAGCCCACTCTCCTCCCAGGTCCCTGCAGCCGTGGAGGTTCACCTCGCTGTTGCCATGGAGATTGTTGCCATACACACAGACCGAGAGCCGGTGGAAGGACTGGGTGAGCTCATCACGAGCATAGCTAAGGGAATTGGGCACATGGTTGTGGCCAGAGCATCGGCCCTTCTTGGGGCTCTTGCAGTCCTCATTCCAGTCAGTTTTCACATCGCGGACAGCCCGTGAATACTCATCAATGTCGAACTGTTCTTGGCAGATACCCAGCCAGTGATGGACCAGGGTTTCGGGCCATACTTCCCCCTTCACCAGGTGTTCTGGGAGGCTAAACTTGGGGACAGTCAAGTGCAAAGGGAAGTGCATGGGGAGGATCTTGTTGTTCCGCAGCACACAGCAAACCACCACTGTCTTGGTCTGGATGTTCACAAACTTGTAGCGGTGACCCTCGCGGATGAAGTGGAGGTCGTATGGGTTCCTTGGTGGAGGGCTGGGCACAGTCACATTCACAGGAAGCCTGGTTTTCTCCACAATGTTGCGGATGGTGTGTTCACCCTCCTGCATCTGAAGTTCCAGGGGACTTCGGGTGCTAAATCGGCCCTTGCACTGGAATGGAAGGCTAATGCTTTCATTGGTCCGGTGATTCATGCAAATGAGACACGGCATTTTGCCTTTTCCCAGCTTGCTGATGGAATTGAGTTTCCCAATCTTCTTGAAGATTGTGTTGAGTCGTGACTTTTCCTTGAAAGTCTTTGCGTAAAGGATTTCTGCCTGTCCCATTAGAGTGAGTTCATCCCCAGTACACAGGGTGATGTTGTAAACTTCCGTGTCTTCATTGCATTCACCTGAAGCAACCTACAACAGAATAAATCAAATTTTAGGTTAGTTTCCTTTAGTCTATTCACACAAATAAGTAGAGAACTTGCTATCACGACATGTATGTGCACACACAAAAGAAAACGCTGTGTTTTTGTTTTTTTTTTGTGAGGAAGATCAGCCCTGTGCTAACATCTGCCAATCCACCTCTTTTTTTGCTGAGGAAGACTGGCCCTGGGCTAACATTCATGCCCATCTTCCTCCACTTTATATGGGACGCTGCCACAGCATGGCTTGACAAGTGGTGCCTCCGTGCGCAACCAAGATCCAAACCAGGGAACCCCGGACCGCCGTGGCAGTTAACCGCATGCGCCACCAGGCCAGCCCCTGTGTTTTGCTTTAATACTAAATTTAGCCACTCCATTTCTTTTATAGTATTTATGTGGCTAAAAATAACAAGATGATATTGGTTTAGATTTTTAAAAACCTGTTTTTTCCTGAAGAAAAAAGTAACCTGTTCATTAGTAAAAATTTGGGAAATACAGAGGGAAAATACACATGAAAAATAACACTCGGGAGCCTGATTCAGAGATAGCCATGGTTAATGGTTTGATAAATATCCTTCTGGTTTCTTTTCCTCTGTAGAGCAGCCTATCAAATGGATAATTATTTTGGGACATCAGTATTATTATATCTTTTTCAGTTATTAAAAAAATGCTTTTATGAATACCACTATAGAAAATTCCTTACTTTTTTAACTAATAAAATTTTACTAAATTTTCTAAAATTGGAATTGAGATAAAGGATTTAGAAATGTTTTATTTCTCCCTATTCTTTTATTTTATTATACACACTATTCATGTTCATTGGAAAAAAATTAGAAAATACAGATATGAAAATGAATAAATTCTACATAATCTTACCACTAAAGCTAATCTATGTTAACAATTTTATATATAAAGAAAAAAATGAAATGTATCAGTCTCAGAAATATATAAATACACACACAATTTTGTTGCTGAGTTTCTCACTATAAGGTATCCATTTTCCCATGTATGTGCTCCATCAGTTGTAACACTGACCTAATGTATTTCATTATATATGCATAAGCCTTAATTTATTTGACCAGTTTCTTACTGTTAGACGATAGGTTTTCCTAACGTTTAACAAATATAAATAGTACTGCAACGAACTTTTTTACAGTTCAATTATTTCCTTAGGATAAAGGCCCAGAAGTAGAATTGCACGGATAAAGCTACGTATATGTTTGAAAGATCTAACATGTACTGCCCACTGTGCTTCATCAGTATTATCCTTATTTATACTTCTTCCACTTTATGAAACTGTCTCCCCATACTCATGAAGAACTTTAATGTCTACCAATATTAAAGGCAAAGTATGCATCCTGCATTTATTTATTCATGTTTTATTGCTAAAACATGCTAACCATCAGCGAGTTTTATTTATTCATGTTTTATTTTGAATATTTTTGACTATTAGTTATAGTGAATATTTTTTGGTATTTATATATCTGTATATTTAGATATTTTCCTTTGTGAATCATCTGTGTCCTTCATCCATTTTTCTATTGGGATGGTCATCTTACTGATTACTTTTTATGTAATGTTAATGTCATTAATGCTATACATTTTTGACTTTGCGGCTTGAATCTCAATTTTATAGCTTCTTTAAGTACTAAAGATTGTTTTTTCTATGTAGTACACATTTTCAAAATTTTCCTCTGTGATTTTAGTCTTGGGTGTTATGCTACTACTAGTTGAGACGATGTAGATCAGGGATTCTGAACTAGGGGTGACTTTGTCCCCACCCCTCAACCCCTGGGGATATTTGACAATGTCTGGAGACATTTTTGATTGCCACAACCAGAAAGGAGCTACTTATATCTAGTAGGTAGAGGCCAGGGATGCTGCTAAACATGCTACAATGCACAGGACAGCCCCCACAGCAAAGAACTATTCAGTCCAAATTTCAGTAGTGCTGAGGTTGAGAAATGCTGATATAATTAACTAATATTTTCTTCTAGTCTTTTTTTTTTTTTTGGTGAGGAAGACCAGCCCTGAGCTAACATCCAATGCCAATCCTCCTCTTTTTTGCTGAGGAAGACTGGCCCTGGGCTAATATCCATGCCCATCTTCCTTTACTTTATATGGGACGCCACCACAGCATGGCTTAACAAGCGGTGCGTTGGTGCGCGCCTGGGATCTGAACTGGCGAACCCTGGGCCGCTGCAGCGGAGCGTGCGCACTTAACCTCTTGCGCCACTGGGCCGGCCCCTCTTCTAGTCTTCTGATAGTTTCATTTATTAACTACTTAACTTATTTAAAAATTTTTGGGTGGATTATTTAAGGTAGGGATCTAACTTTAGTTTTTAAACAGTTAAGGAATTGCCCAGTACACTTCCTAAATAACAATCCCTTTCATCAGTGATTTGAAGGGTCACTTTTATCATATATTAAATTTATAAAACATATACACTCACATGTATACATATATTTGTATCTAAAAAGGCCATTTTATCCTAATGACCTTTCCGCCTATCTTACCATCATAACTATACTGTTTTAATTTCTGTATCTTTGTCTTACATTTTCAGATCTGGTAGCAACAGCCTTCACTTGTAGTTATTCTGACTCAAAAACTTTTCAGATGGCAAGAAACAAAAGGAGCAAAGTCAAAAGTCAAGTAACAGACTGAGCAAATACTCCTAATAAAGAAGCAGCATTTAAAAAATGACCAAAAATCCTCCAGAAAAAGGGGCAAAAGTCATAAAAAAAAATTCACTAAAAAGATGCACAAAGGCCTTCAAATCTATGGAAAGATGTTCACCTTCTCTTATAATAAGAGAAATGTAAATTAAAATATACTGGGATACCATTTCTTACCTAGAACACACTGACAAAAATTCAAAAGCCTGACTTCGCACTCAATTGGTGAGGCTATCGGGAAACAGGACTTCTTGTTCATAGCTGGTGAAAATGCAAAATGATACAAGCCCCGTGGCGGGAAATTTGGCAATATCTAATCAAACTACATGTGCATTTATCCCTCCACCTAGCAATTCTACTTCTAAGAATTTACCTTGAAGACTATCCTCCAACACTATGAAAATACACATGTACAAGGTTATTCATCATAGCATTATTTGTATTTGCAAAATACTGGAACCAATTTAATAAATGCCCAAACATAGGAGACTGATTGACTAAATTATGGTACACACAAGAAATGGTATTATGCAAAAAAGAATCAGGATGATTGACTTCAATGAATTGATAAGAAATGACTTCCAGGATATATTGTTAAGTAAAAAAAAAGTGCATAAAATTTTATACAGTATACTAACTCTTTGTTAAGAAAGAAGGAAAAATTAGTATATATGTTTTCTGCTTATTTTTATTAAAAAAGAACACAAGAAAAATAAAACAGAAAACAATGAGATTGTTTACTTACAGGAGGTAGGGGAGGAAGGAATCTGGTGTTAGGGACATAGGAGGGAGTGATGCCTCTGTGAGCATACCTTGCTATAGTTTTGACTTTTAGGAAGTATGCTAATGTTCCACATATTCAAAAAATGAAATTAAGTCAACAAGAATTTTAAAAAAACCTTAAAGCTGAATGCAAGTGGAAACAGATGAATCCAACCATATTTCAAATGAATAAACTAATCACACAGGGGACAGAGACAGAGAAATAATCCAAGTAACTTTGGAATGCTGTTATATATATATATATATATGCTGAAGATCTTATATTATTCTTACAATAATTCTTTAAGACTGAAATTATTTCAAAATAAAAAGTTTAAAAAAACATGACATTAGGAAAATTTTAGATATTTTTGCCTACCTATTTTCTAGATGAACTTTAGAATCATTTTGTCCATGGTTTGTATCAGTAATTTTACTGGAAGTGCATCTACATGGCATTTTGGCAAGAAATGACATCATTATAATGGTATTTCCAAATAGGCACATGATAATTCTCATCATTTATTCAGATCTTTTATTTCCCTTCTTAGCATTTAAGTTTGCCTTCGTTATCAATCCCTGAACACTGCTGTTCATTTGTAGTTGAGTATGGTTTGTTGCTATTCTGGGTGTCTCGTAATCTTACCGTAATAGTTTTTTTCCCAGTTGATTCTCTTGGGATTCCTAGGTAATGATATCTTAAGCAACTGATGAAAATTTTATCTCCATCTTTTTAGTTTTCATCCCTTCTCTCCTCAACAGAGGGATGATGATGAGTGTTGTTCCAGATTTTAATGTGAATATCATCTGTTTTAATATCAACTATGAGAAATTTGTTGGTTTGAGATGGATTTTTTTTATCATATTAGTAATGTGTCTTTCCAATTCTAGTTTTCTAAAAGTTTCTAAAAAGAAATTTAAAAAATTTTTATTAAATGCTGTTTCTGTGTCCAATAAGATAGTCATATGTTTACTTTTAATTTTGATGTATTAATTTTATATGATAAAACAGTAGATTCTCAAATATTAAAACAACGCTATATGCCTGAAATAATCTCTACAGGATCAGAGTGCACTTAAAACTATATTGCATGATTCTCTTTGACAGTATTTGATCGACGATTTATGTATCTCAGTCACAGGTGAGAATAGTTTTCAGTAATATTATGTCATCTTTATCAGGTTTTGTTATCGGGCTTACATTAAGCCTGAGATTGATTTTTTTCTTTTATGTTAATAAAAAGCATCTGAGTAAACTGACTGACAATGTTCATACCACTTACTAAGAGTAATCATCAGTACGTGTTTAGAAAACTAGGTAGTAACAATCTTTGTAAATAATTTCTTACCCACTATTCCGAGGCATCTCTATAATTTTACCCTTTGGAACAAGCAATATGTCAATCAACATTAACGCTGTAAAAAACAAGTGGCTCTGTTGTCTCTAAAGTGAAGTGAATTTCTCTGTACGAGGCATTATCAGTACATAAATGGCAGCACAAGATTGTTTTAAAGGCAGTTCAGGCTCCTAAGATGTAAAGTCCATTTTAG